GCTCCCGGAAATTCCCTCCGTTCTCATTGTACCATACTACTCGCAATGATCTAGTAACCAGACGACAACATCTTACATTGGCAGACAGTTTCTTCGAACCCCTCAAACACTCCCCAGTGAGCCGTAGACCGGTACCCCCTATCGATGGCCTCAACTGCTTCATCAAATCTTCCACAATGTAATTTCGGCATAATTCAGGGCCGGACAATGCTCTCTCACGTGAATGTCACCCAATTGCAGCTTTAAGCACAAAATTAAGGTGGCTTTTACATCTTTACCTGATCCATTCTGTGGGGGCGACGGCTAACCTACAACTCGTTTCACGAGTATACACAAATTGTTAGTTATAAGTATCGTGGTTGTACGTGAGTTGGGATACTGTCAGGATGCCTACATCTAGACAGGAGGACGATTAGGTCATCAACCAAAGCCTTCGGCTCAAAATCCTAACCGCAAGGCGGCGGTGTTTGGCGGGAAATGCAAATGCATTAAAATCTCTACGGACACAAGTCGTCACAAGTTCCAACCCTTAACCGTAAGGGCCAGGGGACTGTGTTCGTCAGACCTCTAACCGTCGACCAACCTGGTATGAGAGACTGTTAGCCTCACGAGGACACTCCCCAGTATAACTCAGTGGATCGCTGAGGTGCGCAAACCGTCACACCACGATAAGGTCCAGTCTTTTCGTGACGGAACTCAGACGTCTTCGGGTGTTCGACAGTCGTTCTATCATAACCATAGCTCATGTGGGTTGATGTCGGTGAATCCGTAACGAGGCAGTTAGAAAGCGCGTTTTCGGTTGTGCAATGGGTACCTCCATTGAAGAATGTGTCCAGCACCAGAAACTGCGTTGGTTGGAACATGTGTTGCGTATGCCGAACCATCATATGCCAAAGAGGGTGCTGTTTTCCATACCCAATTCAGAGTGGCATAAACAGGGAGGTGGCCAACCCTTGACTTGACTTGGCAGAGGAGTATGAAGGAGATCACGAAACGCTNTTGGCCTCAGACACTAGCAACGTGTCTATGTGGACGACGCTACCACCGAGAAAGTGAAAATACTGGAGAAATGAAACAGAAGGAAAGAAGGAGGTCCTCAGTAGTAGCCGTTTCTGCTTACTCGCTTTGCGGTATACAACAGACAAGGCATTCGGGTTGATGGCACAACTCGCCGCCGATGTTGCATGCTATTATCTGCAGCATGTTTTTACCGCAGCGAGCCACTGGTGTTCAACAATAATGTCAGGCTGTCGCCGATCATGATGATGATGATGATGATGATGATGATGATGATGATGGTGATGGTGATATGCCACTTTATTCCTCATTGTTACATCCATAACCATATGACTTAGTGATTCTCTGATCCCCATCGTTGTACTTCGTCCGGTATTTTTTGGTATCCGCTGGCGCTGCCGAATTGTTAAGTTTGATACACATCAATCATACTACATTGCAAAGGAATGAAATCACGGGTTCAGTCTGGTTTGCATTCCTTTGCACCGCGTCGCATCAACACCCAGTTGTATACTAGATTATAAAAGTAGAGTAGCTTCGATGGCCTCTAGAATACAACCGACGAACAGTGGAAACCTTTCAGGTGACGTTCGCTGAATGATTACTACACATTACTATTTAGTACCTTCGTACGGTCTTCCGTGGAGGCCATCTTAAAGAACGGACTGATGTGTCGTGTTTTGGAAAGAGCAGACTGTTTACCCTTACCAAGGATAACTTAGGCATTTTGCGAAATCATATTGAAGCAATCGGTTTTTCCGATATCTCCCCGTTGTCATTCAAATTTTCAAGTCACTCTTAAAGTTGTGGTCAGTCAGTGTTCAATCTGTACAACTTTCAGAGAACATCACTTTGTTTGTTGGGCGATGCTGCATTCTGAGCGTAAAAATGAACAAACTTCAGGATTTTAGGTACATTAGTTATCAAGCACAGGGTAACAGTAGTCAACTATGATTGACCGAACTCAGCACTACCGAGCCCTTGCGAATTCCACACTTTAATGCCTTCAGTTTATCCATGAGGGAGGTGCCAACGCAGCTAGTCGGCGATGAACAGGGCGAGGTGGACCAAGTGGTTAGAGCGCGAATTTACTGATCGGCAGGTCCGTGGTTCGAACCCGACCTCTGTCTCTCGAGTTCCCCTGTCTAGACTTTGGCGATCTGACAGTATCCCAGCCCTCGTCCCTCCTTCATGTAGCATAGCAGCTAGGCACCGAAAGGGCGCTACACCTGAACGATTTTTCAGCGATCTAGAAAGTGATTTGTCGGTCTGTCTGTGCGCGGCCGTTGAATTCTTTTCTATCCCACTGGCTATTGAAGTTCACAGTCGAAGACATTGAATGAACTCTTCGTTGTGGTATATTTCCGGTTGGATCTGCCAGTATCGCTTCCGTAGAACGTATTTGAGCGTTTGTAATAGATTGGGTCGATTCACGCTGTTTTTCCGCGCTCGTCTGTATGAAGTACAGATTGATCGTAGTGCAGAAGAGAACTATGCTAGTCAACATGTATTGAATGTGGCGGGCAACGTACCGATCACTAAACCATCAACTCTACAAATCCATCCCCACGCAGAGAACTCCTTTGGCAGTTCCAGCACCCCTATTCCTCAGGCGCTGATAGTCAGTTAGTTATGAAAAACCCCGGGTTAGGGTTGACTTTTGTCGATGAGTTATTCCCCCAGGCTGAGCAACTGGACTGATCGCGTTGGTCGTAGTCTCGTGGTTTGTGAATGTTTTCCACGAATGATCGGTCCACATTGCGAAATCCTGCATATTGCGTCTCTTGCTTATGGTTTAGCTGTGGCGCCCTTTCGTTGCCTAGCTGCCTTTGCACCCAGATTACACACGGGGGCCGAGGTACTATCAGCTTGCCCATGGCGAGACGGGAGAAGCCGAGATAAAGACGTGATTCGAACCATGGGTCTTCCGGCCTGTACTTTCACGTCTCAACCATACAGCCATTCTGCTGAGGAATAGTAGGGACCAACAGGTGACAATAGCTCGTTGCTGAAAACTCTTGGTCATCTTCATGAGGAGTGCATTACGTCTATGCAAGGCTTGTGATTCCTTGAATATCGTACCAACCGAAATATGAGACGGTCTGGTGCATCACATCCAGTTGCTCAGAAACATCATAAACAATAGATTCAGCTGGGTTCCAGGCGAATCGCTTGCGGAAAAACCAATTTGGCATGCAGACGAGGGACCAATGCAAGAGTTATCACCATCCATCTGGATTTGCCTACATCTCCTTGATGTAAAACGTGTTTTCTTCATCTGACACGGAAAGGGTCTTAAAGACATTCGTCAAAGCCTGCCGCGCCGTCCTTTGAGCTTCCAGATGACACTTATCATTCCAGGTGTCACGAGTGAACCATGAATTAAAGTGAAATAGTAATCCGACACACCTGTCGCGCGTTTCACATGGTTGGAGCTCAGACTTTCGGTGGCATTCGCTACGCACCTCCGGTTAGATTGAATGTGTGGTGTTTAAGCGATTCCGTATGGGGAAACCAAGTCAAGCTAGCTATAAACTAGTTTCTGCGAAATTTCACAAGTGAATATAGGTGATTTCAGCGACCTTATGAGTTGTGCGTTACTTCTATATATGTATCGCGATATCTTGAATGTCGTTCAGCTGTAGCACCCTTTCAGTGCCTGGCTGCCATGCCACATGAAGGAGGCACGAGGGCTGGAATTCTGCCAAGTTGTCCAAGCCGAGACAGGGGAATTCGTACCAACTGAAACATGAGACGGCTTCGTACAGTACAATCCGTTGTTTAGAAACATCATAAACGAGAGATCCAGTTGGGTTTGCAAATGAGTGTATTTCGACAAGTAATTTGTCTTTTCCGATAGAGG